AGATAACCTATTAGAGAACTCACCAGCAAAGAAGATGATTCTCATTTGTTTACTAGCCATTAGTTGTCTGTACATCTTCACCTAAGGTTGGAGTTTCTGGAAATGTCCCACATCTACTTTAGAGACCATATTGTTGAGAGTTCATAAATGTAACTCTCTGTTATATATAAATGACACTATTTCACAGCAGACGCCCTGGTCCTCTGGCTCCTAGAATCCAGAAGACACTATCTTGATATATTAATTTCTTTTCTTGTTATTGTGCTAAAATAACCTGACAAAAGAAAGTTAAGGGGATAAGAGCTTATTGTAGCTTGCAATTCAGAAAAAACTCAAGACAGCAGGAGCTGGAAGTAACTGGTCACACTGTACCCACCGTTAGGAATCAGACATTAATGAATGCATACTGCCATTCTGTTCCCTTTCTCCATATATACAGTCCAGAATTCCAGTCAGCAAATGGTGCCACCGACAGTAGATGGGTCATGCAATCTCAATTAATGCCATTAAAATAAGAAGCATGTCCAAAGGTTGGTCTACCAGATTATTCTAGATTCTGTAAAGTTAACAATTAACACTCACGATCACAACTCCACCCTTTTGCACCTTGAGACCCAAACACTTTAAGCCACAATTTTTCACTCATTGTCTATGTAGTTTCTTGACTATGTTATAGCATAAAATGTACTCTGCCTAACTTTAAAGTTCCCATAGTCTTTAACAATTCCAACACATTAGAAGTCCAACTTCTTTTAACTGTGAGGTCCTATGGTTCAAGATGTCTCAGATGTGGATCAGTTATGAGCACCACACTATTGCAATTCTCAAGTGTGCAAAATTCTAGAGCAGTTAAGGGAATGCTTTTCCTCTCCTAAACATTCAAATCCTTCATCAGATGTTTGGATATAGGGTGACATTTAATATTTACATTTCTGTCATAAACAGTGTGAACAAGGTTGCATTCAGGGACCTAGCAGAGCAGAGCCACTGGTAGCCTGAACTGCCTACCTGGGGAAACTACTGATACCAGTTTTTAACTGCACCCAAGAAAATGGACTCAACAAAACACTAGGGGCAATAATACCTGACACACTTTGGATCCTTGTCTGGCAATGGCATACACTCTTTTGACACATTTCTCTTTTTGAGGACAGGAACATCTAACCTGACTCCTTGTCACCATTGCATATTGGAAGTGGACAACTTACTTGATTTCACAGATAAAATTTCAGACTTTAGAATTTTGAGTTAATATTGGGAAAAAAAATCCCTACTTTCATCAACTGAGGTGGAATAGCAATGTCTTACCTTATGCAGGAAACCATGGGCAGGACAGGGAAGGGAAGGGCAGGGCAGAAATGTGATGCTATGGTTTTATGTGTTTCTTCTTCAAAACTCATATTGAAATGTTATTTCTAATGCAGCAGTAAGAAGAAGAGAGGAGACTTTCAGAGGATCTTTGCATCACTGCAGGGACTACTGATACAGGAGAAGCTTGAAGTCAAATCTGACACTTCATAGGATGTGCTAACATACATGCTTAGGAAGTATTAAGTTACGCAAAGCAGGATTTAGCTAAAGGAGTGGTCACTGCCTCCAATATGACTAAACTTGTTAAAAATAGTAAGAGAGAAAATTTTGATGGTAATTGAAGTTTGGAGTTGCTGAGAAAACCACTTCTGCTAATGTTTGTTCTGAAAATTAGGTTCCAGTTAGGTTTTATTCATAATACAAAAGGAGACAACTGTGACTTAGAATTGGCCATTAGAACAACATTCACATCAAGGCACCTACCTCTACAGGCATTTCAAGGGGACAGCACAGGCTCACAGCCATCTTTAAGACCTAGTCTGCCCCTAAGTATCTGGTGCTTTTCTTGGGAGAAGCATAATTCTGTTATGTGGATAACATGAATCTGGATAACAACCATTCAAAAGAACAGTGCTACCAGACAGATCTTTTGCTTATATATTATGGTTTGTGATCTTGTGGTTTTAGTGATTTCTGTTGGGCCAATGTGTGTGTTTTTATATCTATCTATAACATTTCATGTGATTATTTTGTAAGGTGAGAAGGTGGGGAGGATCTTGAAAGAGTTGAGATAGGGTGGACCATGGTAAGAATGTATGAAAAAAATCTACTTTTGGTCAAAATTTTTAATTATTAAACTATCGATTAGTTTTATAGAAATAGGAAAATGGAATGTGTTTCTTTATAATTGGTAAATAAACTATATTCACTCATTCACAAAAAGTAGAATAATAAAAAAGAAAATATATGTGCTTTAAGAATGGAATATTTAGACCATATCTGTGTAGACTTTGCCAGCGTCATAATAGAATTTTGTCACCAAAAGCGATTAAAGTGGTACATATTTTCCTACATGACATAGATATTTAGAGAAAAAGATTGATCTCTAGCTAATAATTCAAAAAAGAGAGGGGAGAAGGAAGAAGAGGAGGAGGAGGAGGGGAGGAAGAAGAAGAAGAAGAAGAAGAAGAAGAAGAAGAAGAAGAAGAAGAAGAAGAAGAAGAAGAAGAAGAAGAAGAAGAAACAGAAGCAGAAGAAACAGAAGCAGAAGCAGCAACAGAAGCAGAAGCAGAAGCAGTAACCGAATCAGAAGCAAAAGCAGAAGGAGAAGGAGAAACAGAAACAGAATCAGTATACTGCGGTACTTAAAAATAATCTTGTCTAATTTTTCTTGTGTAACCTGCTTATGTGGCCGGACTAGCAGTCTTCTGTCTCTGATCAAAGGGGACAAATACTGTAATATGACTGAGATGCCTCACAGTCCTGCTGCCTTTACTTCCACACAGAATGAACTGTACCTTTACTATGTGTTAAACCTATGCTCTACAAAGTTGATTTTGTCATGGTGGATTGTCACAGGATCAGGAAAAGAAAATAAGACAGAAAGATCATTCTGTCTTATTTATTATTGTTCAAAGTATAACCTGAGTCTAGGACCTAAAGAGATTTAAGAATATCAGCATATGAGAAATATATAAGTCTAACTTGTATAAAGGTAAATTTTTTGTTCAAAGCTGGTTCCCTTCTATGTATTAGCTAAAAAAAAAAGTCATGCTCTGTTATTAAAGATCTTTTCCATTACTGATCTCTATGTTTGCAGTGTGATTTCTTACTGAAAAGACATTTTAAGTAAGCAACACTAATGCCTTTCTCATGGAAGTAGTTCCTAACTGTTTCTTTGGGGAGCACATGTTTTGTTCTCCTTTTTGTCTCAAGTTCCGCAGCTTGACACTGTCCAATGCCATCTCTGGGCTCCCATAATACAGAACATAAATGAGTATCAGCCTTAGAGACTGACCAGTCTGAGGTATTGTGTGTGTGCGTGTGTGTGCGTGTGTGTGTGTGTGTGTGTGCATGTATGAGAGAGAGAGAGACAGAGACAGAGAGAGACAGAGAGAGAGACAGAGAGAGACAGAGAGAGGAACAGTGAGACAGGGAGAAACAGAGAGACAGAGACACTGAGAGACAAAGATAGAGACACAGAGAAACAGACAGAGGCAGAGACATAGAGACAAAGAGAGACGGAGATAGAAAGAGACAGAAAGAAAATTTGGAAGGAAAAGGTTTTTAGTCTCTTTGTCTTTCATAAGAGTGGACATTTTTTATCTGGCATCATATTAGAAGGAGCTAAAATTTATATTGCTAAAACGTGGCCTTCACAATCCAATTGACTTTAATTCCATATAAGATCATTTTTATGTATGAGTGAGATGAATACATGAGGGGAGGAGATTGAGGGTTTTGAGCACTAAGAACAAAATGTCAGTTTTTACAAATAGAATTTAGTAGCTACATCATTTACTAACTATATATGAAAGATACTAAAAAAAAATACTTCTTTAGAGTTCTCATGTATTTGATATTGGATGAATTAGTTAAAGTAGATTGACTTTTGATGTCTGAATTTTAAGAAGTAATAAATATCTGATAGGTTAAAAGAATACCGTTTTTTAGAACTTGAATCTTCTTAAAAATTAAATTTGTTGAGTATTTGATGATTTAAGTACTGAAGACTTAGTGAATATTTTACGTGCCAATACATGTCTTTTAAGAGCTTTTGCAAGTATGCTTCAATAATCTCAAGTAACTCTATGAATAAGATGTCTTTTCTGTCATTTTGTAGGTCAGAACAGATGCTTGACTGATTACATAAACAATACAACACAACTAGGGTTAACAAAATGAAGTTAGATGAGTCAAGGAGAATGACTGTGGATTACAGAGAACTGAAAATCACAGCACCTCCATCTGTGTTGCTAAACCAAACATATTCTTTAGATGTAAAATAGCGGAGTGGTAGGATCTTTTCATATTGAGTTGGAATTTTATATAGTTTTGTCTTTGTATCAATTGTTCTGAATCTACTGACAAAATATTTTATCTTCAGTTCGTTCTTTCTGTCTTATTTTCTTTTCCTGATCTTGTGACAATCCACCTTGACAAAATCAACTTAGTAGAGCATAGGTTTAACACATAGTTCAGGTACAGTTCATTCTGTGTGGAAGTAAAGGCAGCAGGAGCAGGACTGTGAGGCATCTTAGTCATATTACAGCCACAATCAAAGAGCAGAGAGTGACAAAAGCAGGAGACTATTCACTTCCGTCAGTCTACTTACTAATTCCAAGATCCTGGGCAGGAAATGGACACTACCCACACATTGGCTTCGTCTTGTCACATCAATTAACCTGTATATTCCCCAGGTATACAACAACCCTGGTAAACATGAATGACTTTTGAAATACATAATATATGACATAATAAAATTTCCATTTTATTACGTGTTTTTATCTTTGAGAAATAGTAGTCTATGTAAAGATCATGTGCCAGGTTCTGAGAATAAGATACTTAAAACAGAGTTCAGCTGAAATTGTAGACTGAAGCCAAGGGCAGGCAAGTTCAGTTTAGGTCATCTGAAATCAAGGAGATCACAAACTCTGAGTGAGAAATAAATCTCTATATTTAAACATCAGTACAAGCTGGTGATTTTTATTATACAACTTAACAATTAGGTTTAGAAATAATTTATATATTTTACAAAATTTACTTTGAATACATAGTTCCTATTTGGGTGTCAAAATTTTGAGTACATTGATCCTATTTGGATATGAAAATTAAAAAAAGACATTACAAGACATATTTGAAATATAACCATAAAAGCATTACATTATTTTGTCAGTGATCTTTTCCCTGTTTTAAATAAACTACAGTCCCCTAATCACTATTTTTCCCAACAACAAGAGTCTTGACTTAGGAAAATCTTTTTTATCTTTTTAATTCTTATCTCTTCATTAGTTAATATATTGTTTTTTTTCAATTAAACTACTTTTCTAAGCATTACAGTTATGATAGAAAGGGAAGACATATAGAGTACAATTAAATCAACTGTCATAGTATTGTAAATACACTGGCAGAGAGCACACAAGTATAAAACAGACATAACAACGTTGATTATTCATGAAAACATCTGAGGCTGAAGATAGCTCCGTGTTTAAGTATATTTCATTGCTCTTGCAAAGGACCTGGGTTCAGTTTGCAGCACACATGTTAGGCAGCTAAAAATAGCCTGTAAGTCTAGCTCCAGGGGATCCAACATAGTCATCTGTCCCCTTTGAGATACTTCTTTGTCTCTTAATATGTATTCTGGAACGAATAGGAATTTCTGTGTGTTTCCTGAGGAAAAGTAATTCAACACATTGATACCCAAACAGAGACCCAACTGAACCCAAATGTGTGGGCGAATGTCCTTTTTATGGGTAATAAAGCACAGGTGAGTTTGAATGCTCTGGTAGTGGTATGTTTGTGAAGACAATTCCAAAGGGATCATACTTGCCTTTGTTGAATGGAACATGATTCCTAGCTATAGTGGTTATTACAAAGACATGCAGGAGACACCCTCTGATTCATCAGGGAAATTTGATGTGAAGATGGGGTGACATAATGAGTATGAGGAGAGAGGTTATTTTCAGATCATGTAAAAACTGATTCAACAAGGTTTTGGTTGAGCTTGAGTTTCTAAGGATAATCTTGACAGAATGTCAAATGTTATGCTTATGGACCTGATGGGATTCAAAGAATAAACAACTGTTCCTTAGTGGACATATTGAGTGACTATGGTTCTCACTGCAACTATTGCTCTGAAAGAAGATTTTCCTGTGAAACATTCTTAGCCATTTCTATAATGGGATGGCCAAAGTTGCCTACAGATGAGGATCATGCAGGGTAACTAGAGGTCCCAGGGTACAGTTGTGAAATTATTGGTTTTCTACTGAGGTTCAGATCACTGTTTTAGCATGGAGGCTGGGTCCAGAAATGCCTTGGATTCTGATGTGCCTCAGTGAGCTTTACAGGCAACAGGCAGCAGTATATAGATATGTTGATAGAATAATACAGATAGAAAGCTGGTTGTTTCCCCAACTCCAGATACTGTGTTCCTTTTTCCCAAGCAAGAAAATAGGTTGGGGGTGCAGATATCAAGAAGTGCAATCACAGAACTTTTGGTAAATTTCTCCTGAGGGTGAAAAATGAAGCTAGATGACTCAAGGAGAATGAATGTGAATTACAGAAAACTAAACAGCATGACATCTCCATCGATGTGGCTATACTTAGCATTACTCTTTGGATGTAAAATTGCTATAAGTTTAGGGTATTTTCATGTTGTGTTGTAATTTTATAAAGTTTTGTTTTGTCTTTGTATGTCCTTCCATCCTGAATTCCAAGCCAATTTGGTAGTGCCTTGGAGATTTTAAATATTTTAAAGATTTAGAGAAATATTTCAATGAAATTGTCCATATACACAGAGGGTAAAAGACAAAATATCATTCTGCACAGGATACAGGGCCCAAGCAGTAGAAATTCTTTGAAGTTTTATGGTTGGGTAATATTTGGATGATGCTTAGCAAGATGGTTGAAAAAACTCCTACAGCTTGTGTCTATGAAAATAAAACTAGCAGTTAATATATTTAAACACAGAAGAGATAGTACACAGGGGAGCTCAGTAATTCCAGTGAAGTAGAATTACTTTGCTTCACATTATTGTCTAAGGAGGTTCCTGAAGACTCACACATTATAGAGATTATTGCAATGGATATTGGCTACATACGAACTTGATGATAACTTCATATTTCCGAAGTCCTCCCCTCCCGATGCTCTAGTGGCAGGGCACATGGAAATCAAGCTGGATTTCCTAGAGGTTTCATTTTTTTCTGGGTAGTATGTAGTTCTGGAAGGCACTATGCAGGCCGTTGGGTAAAACTGTCACCAGTGACCCTGTTAAACTACAGAACCTATGTGTTAATGATATGATCATGACAGGCAGAGTGTGCCCTGTTGTGCAATAGTAGCATGAATGATATAGAGTAACCAAGTGCCTTTTAACTTCTGTAAGGTGCCCTCTGACCTCTGTGCATGCTCCATGGCATGGACGTGCACTCATATGTGTGCATGTGTGTGTGTGCAGACACACAAACACACAAAAAACCTAACGGACATAAGTAAAAGACATGTGAAAGTTTAAAAACCAAAAAGAAGAAACAAAAGACAGATGAAGATGATTATTGGTCCTTGAAAATATATTAAGGAGCTGTAAATATCTTATGTCTATATTGATAAAAACATTTCTTTAAAGTTTTACATACCTTATATATTGTAACTATATTAAGAAAACATTTAAATAGAGCTATGAGACAAAAGGGTCTTAGAACACATTTGTATGTATATACAAATATACACATGTGCATGCACATGTGTGCATGTACACTTGTGTGTACATACACACACACATACACACATGAAAATGTAGATAACAAGGGAATGAACTAAATATACTAAAGAAGTTGAATTTGCAATGTATAACCTGCCATTCTACAAAGTCCTACAATAGTACATTGAAATGTAAATTTGAAATGTAAGTGATTCTCCACAAAGCCTCTTGAGATATGTGTAATCTGTTAAAAATATTAATATTTTAAAGAATATCTTAAGCAAAAAGGCTCAGATACAAAAGTAATATTTGTTACTTCTGTGTGCTTACTACACTCCAATGATTGTTTTTGAAAGAAATGTGTCATTAGAACAAATAATATAATCCAGTTTAAGATATACACAATCACAACTCTATTTTCAGGTTATGAAATGTAACATTACCTGTCAGACTTCACAAGCAGGTGTTTCAGATGGTGTGCTTACACTTGCAAATATATGTGTGTAAAGCTGTACAGTTATCTGCTGTGAGAAAAGAAACTGACTGACAGCATGGCACAGTCATGTTCATCATGGGAGGTCTCTGCTATCCTACAATAGTGTAAACACAGAATTCACACACACACACACATGCACACACACACACACATACACTAATCTATCAAATGACTAATTTGTTATTAGAGCAAATAATGTAATTCACTTTAAAATATACACAATCACCAATTCTATTTTCATGTTATGAAATGTAATATTACCTGGTAGATTTCATATGCAGGTGCTTCAGTTGGTGAGCTTACACTTGCAAATATAAGTGTGTAAAGCTGTACAGTTATCTGCTATGAGACCAGAACCTGACAGCAGCATGATACAGATGATACAGTCATGTTCATCATGGGAAGTCTCTGATATCCTACATCATTGAAAACACAAAATTATTTATCTGTCTCTCTGTCTCTCTGTCTCTCTCTCTGTCTCTCTCTCTCTGTATCTGCACTAATCTACCAAATGCCAAATGAGTGAATCTTATAAGTCATTGCAAAAGAAGGGTCTCATAAAAGTTGTGAAAGTGGGCAATGGCATATTCACTAATAGTGTGGTAAGAACTTATTTGTTATAAAAGCCAAGTAGACTATGAGCAGGCTGAGAAGGTCCACATCATTCTGCCAGTCTATAATTCAGCTTCATTTATTGATACTATTCTTCTGAGGTTTTCTTTGTATGTTTTTTCTTGTCTATTGTATCATTCATGTTAACTTACTGTGAATTGAAAGTTGAGTCTTTTATCTGAACCCAGGGCTGACCTCTGCTTTTCTGACAGACTCTAGCCCATGAGACCAGTGAAAGGGATTCCAGGAAGTCCTACCAGAGAAACAAGGAATTTTCATCATTATGAAGGCTTTTACTATTTTTAAAATATGTTAGTGTATTCTGTCATACTATGGTTATTATCTAATACAAATCAAATTATTGAAGTGAGAACACTTCTTATGTTTCCAAAACATTCACGTATGTATAGAATTTTGGCTTAAAATTAACTTGCAAATGCTTATATTTAGAAGTTTATTCTTCTATTAGAGGAAAATGTGGTGATCTTTTTAATTTAATAGTTATTCATGCTAACAATATATACATAGCAAGTATTTAAATAAAGTTTCAGATACTATGGATGAAATTCTCTGGATGCTGTGCCCAAATCAATCTGTTTTTCTATAGTTTCTTAGAGTTCTGGGATGTTATTGAAGAAATGAGTGATGTAATACATTAAAATCTATTTTCTGTGTACTTCCCCTGCTGTTTTCTTCGAGTGTCCTGATGCATTAATATGCAATTGAATTAATGTTTCTCTTGGCTACTGTGATAAAACAAGGATAAACTTAGAAAATAATCATCAAAAGCACAAGCAACTAATTGGCAAGTCCAGAAATAGATGTTGAAATGGTTTTGCACCTAAAGGTGAGAGAAGATAGATATGCAGGCATCTTTTGTTCCTCACATGACAGAAGGAAATGACCTTAAATGGCCTTAAATGCTGTCCTTAAGTGCCCACTCTCCAGCAGCTGAATCCTATAAGTTTATCCCTCCTGTGTGGAAGGGAGTCTCACCAGAAACCACAGATAAGACTAAAGGTGCTAGACTGTAGGATCTGTCATCCATCCTGGGCCAGCGTGACAGCTTACAAAACTGGTAAGCATGGTTAACCAGAGGGAGAGGATTTTTTTTTCTCACTAAAGGACACCATGGTAGGGCTGTGGTAATATAAATCTTATGTGTAGAAAAACTCTGTGCCCAAAAGTATGACTTTCACCGCTGCTACACAGGAAAATGGTTTTCAGAATGGAATACTCACATAATACAGAGTTGATAGCAAGCTGCAGATATCAGGGCAATAATGTGGATGTGCTTCCACAAACACCGTCAGAGGGCCAAATGTACTAAGATAAAAATGCTCGTAGGCTGATTCTACTCACATACAGCTCAACAGCAAAGATAATTTATGAAAGCAAAAGTTAGGAAAATTGTTTTGGACAGAAAGGCCTGATGAGAGAATGCAGAGGGGAGGGCCATGGAGGAAATGGATACGTCTGCCTAGTGATCTGACTATAATAACCTCCACCTATCACTCTGAACCCTCAGTACTTATATAGATTTTTTTTCATTTACGGTAAAACTAAATGGCAAAGTTTATTTCAGACTAAAAGCTCTTGTACAAGGATGGGTTTCGTAAAATCAAAAACTAGAAATAGAGATTTGTTACCAGTACACAAATACAAATAAAACATTGTACAATAAAACAACCAAATATTTTTACAGTGTTGTAAATAAATGATACATGCATATGGATAGGAGCGAGCATGTCAGTGGTGGCACACACCTTTATTCCGACCACTCAGGGGGGAGAAGCAGGCAGATCTCTATGACTTTGAGGCCAACATGGTCTACAGAAGGAGTTCCCGGACAGATAAGGCTACACAGAGAAACTCTGTTTTCTAAAAACAAAATAACATGAATGGCTCTATGAACATCATATTGACAAAAAAGTAATGATTGACACATGTGAGCTCTTACCATCTCCTCTTCACTATCTATATAAAGCAGACTGCAGTTTTTGGAAACACAGGACACCAAACCGTCACTCCAAGATTTTTTCTCCACACTGATGTAATAGCAATTATGAGAATATGATATCCACTCCTTAGGACAATGAGCACAAGGTTGTGCTGAAGAGAGGTTGTGGTTTATATCTAGAAGCAACATAAACTTAATAATGAAAATAAGTTAATGTAATTTTGAACATCCATGTATAAATTATTCCTATGTACCCCATATGCTTGTACATAGAAAACAAAATGCACACTCAAATACACTCAAACACAGAGTCAACTTTTGGTCTATAGTTTATATAGCCACAGAAAGCACATAAACACATGACAAATACTCTCTGTACAAATTTCTTCATATGCACTGAATATAACTTCTATTCTAGAAGACTGAATTCGTTTCTGGCTCATCATAGTTTGCCAGTAGGAAATTTAAGTCAATTATCAAAATTATTGTATAGTTATTTTATATGATTATTTCTTCTTATTGTTTGACAGAAACAATTATTTTACTTTAATATTTATGAGAATGTAGTGTGAATGTTTCTAGGTTATTCTTTTCTTAGAAATTTAACTTTTGCATAGCTTAACTTAGACACAAAATAGAATGTGCATAAACAACAGAACTTTGACAAGCAAGGTATGTGTACCTTTCTGGTTTCTAACCTGGAAGGGGGGCATCTGCTTCTTCTGTTCAGTATCTGGAGAGTTAAAGCCATTCTTAAGAAATTTGAAATTTAAATTATCATAACAAATTTTAGTTTCATAGTTTGAAGTTTATGTACTATTTGAATCAAAATAGTGAGTACATTTGCAATTACTAAAATACAAATAATGTGTTCAAAACTTGGAAAAGTTAGTTCAATGAAAGCCTACATTTCAACATCTTCAGTGTTCAACCCATGCTGGGGTTTAAAACTTTCAAAACTTCATTTGTATTTTTCAGTGAAGTATTCTAAAAGGTGCTGTTGAATTATTAAGTCATAATTGGTATACTTAACAGCAAACATATTATAATAACAACCCTGTCACTTATAAGTTTGACAAAATTACGATAACCATTCCATATTTAACTAAAATATGTACTTGAAAATAAAAGCTGTTCCTTAATAGCAGGGAATGATGACAGACACTTGGTCAATAAAGTGGAGGGCTCTCTTATAATCTCTCAGAAGCATGCTTACATGGAGAAACAATTCTGGTTGAGATCACCAAAGCAATCAATAAGGCAAACCAGATGATGCCCAGGATCCCAGAGATGAGCCTCTCTGGAGGTGATAAAACATCTGCAGAGATAAATGGAAGCGTTAAGAGAAAAAAATGGACACAGATACTCATAGGCTTTACACAGAAGAGAGCTCAGAGAATCAGGATAAATTCAACCCCAGGCTCTCCTCTGTGCTGCAATCATTCTGTAGCAAATATCTTTGCATTTTCAGTGAACAAAATGATTTATCTACTCTTGTGACAATATCTGAATGAAAACTGTGTTCACAACTTACATTATAACTGCATGGATCAAGTCACAACTACTTTCCTTCCCGAAGGGGCCTATTCCCACCTCTGCACCCTGGCTGACACTATAGAGCAGTTAAGTTGAGATTCAATGCCTTACTTTTGCAGTAGCCATGCCTGCTGGTCTTGAGATGCTTCTGGGAAGCACGTTGAAAGCTAAACTCCAGCAGTTGATCTCTTGCTCCATTACTGAAACGGAGCTGAGACTGGGTTTTCTTTGAGGCTTTCCTGGGTTCTGAGGCACATTCAGTTCCAAGAGGGTGACTCATGACTCTTGTCTGCAGGCCAGTGGGTGATAATCAATTCTGTGCTCTGTGGTAATTCTACTTGTGCTCTATGCTGTGGTGATCCTATCAAAGAAGCTACACATCCTGATGCAGTAAAAAAGGAGGAGCCCAAAGAACTGCCACTTTCGTATAGTTGAAGTATCCAAATTTTTCTTTGGAATTTGAACTCATTTGCTATCGTTTAAACTGTATTCCTTGACAATTTATTTTTAGTAGGGAACATGAAAAAATAAATTAGGGAGACAAAACGGTTCACAAATACAGGGCAAAAATTATACATTTGATTCAATTTTCATAGGAATAACACCATGAAATATTTTAATATATTCATGAATAAGACCCATGCTGTAATAGAAAATAATTCTGCATACATTTTATGATGTTTGAATTCAATAAGGACTAAAAACTGAATGCTTTTAATACAGGAAGGTTGCTGTATTAAAATTATTTGCATTATCTTGTTTTTAGTCAACAATTCATATGAATTTAATAAAATAAACCAGGTGTGATTAAATTAGCATCTATTGGATTAATGAAAGTGTTCAGAGAAACTACAAAAAATGAGGATATTGTAAACAATGGAAAATGTTTTGTGTCAAAATAAACACATATAAATTAAACAATATATGGAATATTTAATGTTATTTTTATCAAGAGTGATTTTTAGTTCTTTTTTCACTTGAGAAAATAATTAGTTATTGATTTGATGGCTAAACTTTGAAAATATAAAGTTGAGGTACTCTATAATTGAATATCGTTGGCTTATGCATGCTCATTGAACCTATGGTTCTTAAAATGTGCCATTCTAATTGGTTGTTAATTCAATTGTAATAGAAGATTTCATTTATTAATTTAATTCATGAGTCTTAGAATCAGTGATATCTAGCAGTAATTCTGGCTTTGAGACCTGTAACTGTTGAAAAGTTATTAGTAGTTGGAATCTAATGATCTTGTTTGTTCTTCTAAAATGTAAGTTCAAGTATATACTATGAATGCATGCAAGGCATTTAGTACCCAGCTTAGCCTGTCAAGCTTTGGATCTGTGTGTGCCCTCTGGAATAAACAGATGTCTCAAAGAGCCACAGAGCACAAATTGCAACACATAAAATGCACGATTCATCATCAGGTCGTCTGTAGCTGTAGGTTTAATTATACTGATAAGAAACAGAAAAGCAAGAGGATGGCTAACTCTCCATAGACAACAAGGACAGAACTTTGAGACGGTCCCCAGTGTGTTCCATAGGATTACTAAGTCTCCATAGACAACAAGGACAGAACTTTGAGACGGTCCCCAGTGTGTTCTGTACACTTGGATTTGTCTGAGCTGTCTAAAGGCATCCATGTTCAGCTTGTTCCCCTGCATCTGAACTGTGCCTCAGTTGCTTCACATGTAGCATTTTCAGTGTCTTCTTCAACTGAGGGGGTGGGTGGAGAGAAGGAAGCAGTGACAGTATCCCTGTGTTGCCAGAAAGCTTGGCCTCTGTCAGTGAGTTGTGGTGGTCACAGGCGATCTGTGGAAACTGAGCACCAAAAGGTGAGACAATGGCAGGAAACTAGGGCAGTACCAACTGTGAATTTGGAGGTTGCCCCATGAGCCTCAGAGTGGTCAAGAGTGGAGAAGGAGATTTCTCACTAATGTGTCACTGAAGGTTGAACAGGAAATTCTCAAACTCTGCTGATTTTGAAATCAGTTTTTCTTATCTCATCTTTACATGGCAGGGCACTTTGGGTTCTTGTTGAAAGGAGATAGTGGTCCTCTAAGTGTGTTTTGTAGTGTCCTTTTCCGAGAATCTCACGAGAATTAGTATGTGTTCTATAAAGGTGAGAAAGGACTAACCACAATCACTAAGCTTCCCCTCACAAGGGATTCTCAGTTTTTATACCTCTACCATTGAAAGAGATGTTTTAAGTATAATATATTCTGATTACTGTTTCTCTTCCCGCATCACCTTCTAGTTTCTCCCTTTCTCGACTTCCATCTGAATCTATGTCCTTTTTGTCTTCCATTAGAAAACAAACAGGCAAGTAAATAATAATAATGATAAGATATAAATCAAAACCAAACAATTCATAATACGATAAAACAACTGAACAACAACAACAACAACAACAACAACAAAAAAGCAGTCAAAGAAAAAGTCCAAGAAATGCATAGGGACTCATAGACACACACACACAGGAATCCCATAAAAATCCCAAACTACTAGCTATAATATGTATAAGAACCGGTAAATTAAATAAAAACAAAAACAAAAACAAAAGCAAGAACAAAACCTGACCACATTTGAGACGAAGAATCTCTGAAGGTGCAGATCAGTTAATTTTGCGTTGGCCATTGATAGTTCTGTATTGATCCTATCTTTAGTAGTGTTTTTCCCCTCAGTGAGACTCCCTTGGAGAAAATATTTTTATTTGCAAGTGGCAAATAAATTTGGAGATAACCTATGGGTTAGAAATGAGGATATGTCTTTATTTCATCCTCTAGGTCTAGGACTCCATCTGGTTCAGGCCCATGCAGACCCTGGCATGCCACCACAGTCTCTGAGTCCAAATGTATACAAGCCCTGTTGTGTCTCCAAGGCCTTCATTCCTGGCGTCCTCCATACCCCTCTGGCTGTTACACTCTTTCTATCTCTTGTCTGAGCCCAGAGGGGAGTAATTTAATGAAAACATCCATTTTAAGACTGAGTGTTCTAAGATCTCTCATACTCTGCATATTGTCCAGTTGTCTCTGTCTTGTTCTCATCTGCTGCAGAGAGAAGATTCTCTGAAGATGGCTGATTGAAACAGTAATCTATGACTATAGCACAATGTCATTTATGAGACATTTTATTGCTATTTCCCTTTGGCAGAGCACAAGTGATTGTTATTCCCTGGGCCCCTTGCCTATTCAGCTTCATGTTATTAGCCACCAAGCAGTGTTGGGTATGGGCTCTATATCATGAAGTGGGTTTTATTTCCAGTCAGATATTGGTTGGTTCCTTGCACAAGCATTGTGCCACTACGGCACCAGCATATCTTGCAACCAAGTCACTCTTGTTGTCAAGTCAGTGCTTACCTTTGTCCTGTGGTAGAAAGCAGGGAACCTTCTAGTGTGAACATTAATCAGTAGGGATGAAGTCTTGGGGCAGCAGCTCAGCTTCTCCATGTTCAATGAGTTGTGCACATGTTCTCTTCAGCAATAGGGTCTTACTTTCAGTTTGTAGAAAGCCACCTTGGCAATAGTCTGATTGGTTTGGGTGTTTTCGTGAAATTATGCTCTGTCTCTTTTCTGTTTCATTATATTTCTATCTGCTGGAGGCTGCCCACACCAAGTATAAGCAATATTTTATACATTTTCCTTCTTATATCAATATTATATCTTTTATACCATGAAAACTCATGGGAACATTATAAAACTCATAGTATCACTATTAAGTGATATTAAATGATGTTAGTACAATCAATTCATTTTCAAATTTTCATGACTAGAACAAAAACCAAAGAATACTCATATCATGTTTTTGTTAGCATTCTTGAAGTATTTACATTTTATTTCACTTTCAAAGCTAAAATTTTTAAAATTACTTCAGTGAAAATAAATATATTCATTGGGTGAAATAGTATTGAATATTATCAATATTGTACTCTGTCAGTATGACAGAAATTAGAATATTAAATAAGTACTCATATTATTCAGTTACTTATCCTTAATTGTCATTGTCTATATTTTAATGCAAATATTTAGTTTTAAATAATGAAAATTCAAATATATCTATGTAGTAAATAAACTAAATTAAAATCTCTCCTGTATATGATGCAGAAAAATTATCTCATTATTTTAAGGTTTACTTTGTGGCCTTTGTTATGATCCTGTTTGAATGATTTATCTGTCCCTGAGAAGAATGTATATTCCCTATCTGCCAATTTTATATCACTAAAATATTTCCATAATCTTGTATATGTTTTACTTAACCTGCTTACAAATCTGTGAAACATACATTTCATTTTCGACTTCATAATGTTTCACTTATATTTTTATATTACTGAGACAAATTTAAATATTTTCAGTTCATGAATAAAGGACTTCCTATGCCCACAACATGTTTGTGTCACATAACGTGAGAATATCAATTACTCTACATTTCTACATTGAGACAAGTTCTCTAGCTGATCTCAAGATCACAGACTTGGCTTCTCTAGCTGCCCATCTTCCTCTAGTGATATCCAATCTCTGGATTCCACATGTAGGATTACCAGCCTGTGGCCACACTTGTTAGTATCCCTTCTATGCTCTACCCCATAGTTAAGTTACCTGGCAACAGTCAGGTATGCCTGATTCACTCTAAGAGGGCTGTTTTCTCCCTCCTCACTTTCTTATCCTCTTATTCTCTTACTCCTTTATCTCTTTGCCCCTTCTCCCTCTCTAAGCATCCACACCCCTCTTTCCACATGTTCCTGTCTAGCCTCTATCTCCCCCTTCCTCTCCCACTCCTTCTCCCTTTCCCTTTTCCTCCCTACTCCACTCTCTCTGTCTGTTTTTATATTTCTACTTTCTTCTCAACTTCCCTTGCCATGCCTTAAATAAACTCTATTTCATACTGTATCCATGATGTGGCTGGTACCTCAGGGGGAAGAAATGTCTCAGTATGGGCCTGCAGATGCACCTCTTCCCACCTCACATACTTCGCTCTGTAAAACATATCTCTGGCCTTTTTAATTTTATAAAGCACAACAACACCTGCGTAGCATTTATAAGTTTGCTGGAGAGCCAGATGCTGGTTCACAGCCTTGTACACCAAGTATGTGAGCCATTAAACTATTCCTCAGACTCAGAGAGTTCTTATTGAGATAGGAAAACAAACTCTCAATTCAAGTTTTTCTTTCTACAAGACGTGGTAACAGCTATTGTAAGTTGTGAATCATTCCTTTTGTACAGCAATGGCAATGGTATAACAAGGATTAGAAATTTTGTCTCAGTAACAGCATTGATATTTCATAATGAGTTTGTATCTTTGCATAAGTACAATCAGGCACAAATGAATTATAGACATGCATTCTTGTAGGCTGTTACAAATAAAACAGCACACACACTAATACACACATACATAGATAAAGTCATGCATGCATCTCCAAATCTGTCTACATAGGAAGAAAACAAACAAAGCTCCCCCTACATATGTTCCAAAAAATCATCGCACAAAATTATTCTTTTAAAGCAGAACAAGCATTTAAATTTTGTTTTATAACAACAGTAGCAAAATTTGAGATGATTGATACCAAAGGACATTCTGACTTTAAGCATATCCGTTTAATATTGTACAAGAATACATGTTTTTATAAAGCCTTTATTGTGGAGATTCATTGACTAATTCTTTTTTTCATTTCCTTTGAAAGTAATGATAACTTGTGCATAGGCTAAGATGAAGACAAATAAACATTGGAGCTTTGAAAATTATTGTTTACTTTTCTGGGGTTTTTTAGGATGCAATGTTCTGCTCCTTAATTATAATAGCTAGGAAAAGGTAAAGAAGATATTAAATAATTAATAGTTCTGAAAACATGAATTTTAATTTTTTAGTTTGAAATTTTAGTTTATATCAAAATATAAAAGTATAAAATAAAATTATTTTATGTGGAAGAATATTATAAATATGAACCCTTGGGAGAAAATTATTGCAAAAACCTACAGGTTCAAAACTGACCAAAATTTGGGCTGGAGAGAATGCTCAGCTGTTAAAGGCTAGGCTCACAACTAAAACTGACCAAACTTCACAATAATTAATATAACCACTTATAAATACTAATTAGCTTCTTAATAAAGATTTTCAGAAGCATGACACTGAGTTACAAAATCACAACACATAGACTAAAAAACACATTGCAAAAAACTTTTTATTGTACTTTTGACGAATTCAGAATAAACATTGGAATGACATTTTAAAAAAAAATTATAAATAAGAATATATTACATGTGTCCTCGATGATTATGTACAGAGAAGTATGCAGAGAGACTTCCAGCGTTCTGAGTGAAAAATTCCCCATAATCATTCAAAAAGCATTGTTACAGGTAACAACAACTGTGTTGGTTACCATCGAATGGGACAGTTAGTTAAAGCAGGTGATCCTTTGGATTGTAGTTACAAACTCATGTGAAGGGAGCCAGAGATCTGCAGGGAGAAGAGGAAGCAGTGAGAAAGGTTGGGGGAAACTCCTGCTTATGGGAAGCAGGGGGGGGTTACATGCATACAGAATAGGATAAACTCTGACAAAATACCACATCCACAAATCCAGATATCTTTTTAGAATGAATTTTTGTATTTTCAGTAAGTGTGTGCTTTGTAAAACCTGGAGATTTTAGAAAAACATCAAAATATATATGCATGCATGTATGTATGTATGTATATATGTATGTATGTATGTATACATATATGATGTTATATATGTGTGTATGTATATATGCATATATATATATATATTTACTATAGATATTGTGGAGATTGGATTACTCCATGTAAAATGAATTATAATAAACTGGCTTCCAACTTCATCTTACCATTTGAGTGCACCTTACATATAAAGGTGACTACATATTTTATGAGTCATGGCAATTCTTTTAATTTCCTTCAAGGTATTGGGAGCACTTTGAGGCTTTAATTCCACACAGGCTACATCTTGTGTAGCCACTTGTGTAGTACAGCAGGAAATGTCAGAAATTATGCTTTAGGTAAATGTCTTTAAGAGATTAATGTATTAAGTTGTCTATAAGTTTTTATAGGATGGGAAGCCTAGGACCATCCAACTGTCCAACTGGATCAGATAAAGGGTGAACAGTCCCTTGATCCAAAAAATCTTATTTAAATATCCTCAAACCCTTGAACTGCACCTAACTGTAAAAATAAGAATGTTTCAACAGGTATCTGAGTTCACTATAAATTATAGTTGGGACCATAAAACAAGATATATTGGCAAAAATTAAAAGAAGGCATGAAAATCTGGCATTCTGATTGACTTTTTGGTTTCTATGATAATATTATTTTGACCAAAAGCAATTCAGGAAGGAAAGTATTTATTTCAACATATACTTTTTGGTCACTTCCATGACTGAGGGATGCCAGGGGTTGAAGCAAAAAGCAGGAAAGAACACAGATGGATGCTTCAATTTCAAGTTTTCTTTTATAGCCCAGGGTTATGTGACTAAGAACTATGCCACAGACAAAGGGGTGGACTATCCCACCTCATTCATTCCTCAGGACAGTCTACCTTTAGTGACCACCAAGCCAATGTGTTATAGGCAGAGTCTCAGTTGATATTCCTTCTTCACAGGTTGTGTCAAGTTTACAATGAAAAAGCAATCAAAACATCTGGCATGTGGCTTAGGGTGATAATCCAAGTTACTTGGGAATCTGAGGCAGTAAAGTCTCAAACTTAGTGATAGCCTGATCTATCGAAATCCATGCTGGTTCCAGGAATAAAACTATGTAAGATTTGTCACTAAAACAAAAATGTGAAGGAGTAGTCTAGAGTAAATTCCTTGTTTGGTATGCAATTTTCATTATAGAAATACTCATAAATAAAAATATCAGTAATATGAAGTAAGACTCCACATGAATGTCTTTTGAATGTCTATTAATGTTATTAAGCTGAATGACTAGAATAGGTATATTCATTTTTTATTTTATAAATAATGATTTAAGCTATTATGACAGTTTTGATGTGTGATAATTGTCAAAGACTGGATGCTGTGGGGGTGCACAGATAGTATTTTTATCACAGATATAGTCATTAATTCACTATACTGCTTTTATTTATTGATTATCATTAGTCTTTAAAATGAAATGTTATCCTTTATTTTGAATGGCTCAATGGTTCTGATATGTCTTTACATTTAATGAAAAAGAACAAGTATTTTGTGCTTGAAAGTGTTCCATGACATTAGACTCAACCACAAAGTAGACAATATCAGTATCAAGCAAAAGGTAGTCTGTTACCCAACACTTCAGTTATAGTCATGACCATGAAGCCTCTGGAAGACTGAGCTCAAACTAACTTATGTTTTTATTTCCTAAAATCTACAGAAATAGAATTTAGATCCTTAGAACCATCAGTATGACTTGACTACTTAAAGGCACTCTGTGGCTAAAGATGTGCCTCAGTGGCACACAGCACTTGCCTAGCATGTGGGAGCATTTCCAGCAACACAACAAACTAATGCAATGAAAATAGTCTGATCATCAATGGATCGTGTGTAACAGTGGTCCCACAATATTATGTAGCTGAAGACACTGCAGCTGCTACAGTTGGCCTATTACAGTTTGCCTCATTATATGAGACTGTGTAATCATGCATCTCTTAGAATGTCACTGTCATTAATTGAACAATAAACTGCTGGGTTCTCTGCAAC